GCTGAGTACAGTTCTCTTCGACGGTGGCTTCTTCAGTGGCACGTCTTCAGCAGCATCATTTGTTCTGTTGTCCACTTCGTCCCAACTGAAATGTCCTGGACCGTGATAATGCCAAAGCCTATTGGCATGCACCACTTTTGGCTTACCTCGCCGACCACATTTTATGTGGAAAGTCACGTCTGAGAGACGATCCACTAAGTCATATGGGCCTTCCCATGGAGAAGACAACTTACGAGACTTCCATTTGGTCTACCTGGGATTATATAACCATACCTTGTCTCCTGGTACAAAGCTGACTTCAGTAGATCTCTTATCATAAGATAACTTCATCGAATCAGCAGACGTTTTCAAGTTTGAACGCCCTTGATGATGAATATCATCCATCCTTTCAGATAACACTTTCACGAACTCTGGCACATTTTCAGGCAACTCTTCGTATGATGGGCGCCTATTATCAGTCCACTGGCAACCGAAGTTCCCAATGAAAAATTGCTTTGCTGAAGTGTATCCGGTGGCTTCATGCTTTGCTGTTCTATAGGCTATCAATAATGGAGAGAGTAAGACATCCCAGTCATCTTGGCGATTATTACAAAACTTTGCCAATTCCTGTCCCAGTATCCAATTGTACTTTTCTTCCATCCCATCAGACTGTGGGTGAAGTGGAGTTGTTCTAGTCTTTCGTATGTCAATCAACTTGCAGCATTCATGGAACACAGCTGATTCAAAGTTACGGCCTTGATCTGAATGCAGTTCGTATGGCATACCAAACCTGTAGAAGAAATCACTAATAGCCGAAGCTACAGTTATATCTTCCTGATTTGGTATTGCATATTTCTCAGGCCACTTGGTGAAATAATCCATCACCACATAAATGTACCTGTTTCCAGCACGAGTTTGGGGCATATGACCAGCAATGTCAACGGTTACACTATCCATTGGTGCACCAACTTGATTAACTTCATTGGAGCACGTCCCTTATACTTGGGTCCACTTTTAGTCACAACACTGTACTGCAT